CACCCACACCCACACCCACACCCCACACCCTTCTTATTGAAAACTTTTAAATTCTAGTTTATTATGAACATATAACTAGATTTGAAAGTTAACTCTTTTAACTTTCGACTTTTATATGTCATAGTAGGAGATGTTTCTTTTAACAACTATATATCATCAGCAATTGATAAGATTACTTTAGCTGTAATCGAAACGCGTCTTGCTAGCTTTTGATATGATTTACTTTTGAGAAATCACTATCTACTAACACACCCACCCCACACCCACACCCACCCCACACCCACACCCACCCCACACCCACACCCACATCCACACCCACACCCACACCCACACCCTCAGGGACTACAAAAAACAATAAACAACACCACCACAGCACGACACAAGTCCGCTTCAACACTATGAAATGAAGTTATCATGGTAACTATCACACCCATTATTATTTATATTGGGTCATATGCTATTATTATAGTAGATTTTAAAAGTATTATGTATTGATTTCAACTTTTTATTAAAGTTTGAATCTCTTATACTAATACTTAGGCCACTTGATAAGATTGAGTCAGAAATATCGAAATAACTTCAAGTTATCGTGGTAACTATCACACCCTCGTTTGCTGAAAAGCAAAAGTTGGGACTAGCAGATTAATTTTTATTTCGTTTAATAAAAGTTGATGTGTTTCGATTTGATTTTACACCCACACCTTACCCACACCCCACCCTTGACTTCTTTAGAAAAATATTTAAAGAAGAGAATTGAGTTTTCACCATCAGACTGATTAAAGTTTTTCTACTTGATTCAAATGTTGATATTATTTCAAAATTATTAATAAACAATATTTGGCCGAATTTCACGACTACATTAATAGTTTTTCTTAAAATTTGGGTGTGGATGTGTGTGTGGTGGGTGTGGGGTGAGGGTGTCGGTGTGGGTGTATGGCGTTGGACTTTAGGTCCAGAGAAAGATGACCGCACCCACAGGCACAGGCACACCCATACTCCATCATCAATAATTGCATGCAGTTATATATTTTTTATTAAGTTATTGTTTACGATTCCATAGTAAGCCAAAAATAATCGCTCATAATCATCAAATAAATCGGGTTCGATAGTCAAACCCCGAGAATCAATGTATCCTTGAAATGTTAATGGTTTATGTTGATTTTTACAGCAAGTTTCATACTTTTGAATTTTAAAGTACGTATGCCTGTTAGCATTACGGTCTTTTTTATCAAGAAGAAATTGTAAAAAGATATTTGTTCGATTTGCGAAGCCATGCTTTACACTCAGCTTTCGATAATGCAAAAGCAATCCTTTCAAGTAATTATCTAGATCAATGTTCGGTGGTAGTAATGCATATAATTTTTTTTTAAAACAACCTTGTACTGGTTTTCCAATATCCATCAATATTAAAGCTTTCAAAACAGGCGATTTGTAATGTTCTCTCATGCCATCATCACCGAAATGCTCCTGAATTTCATGTACGATATCTGTAAAAAGATCACCAATGAGATCAACTTTTTCCATCGATGCTTGTATTTGCAGTCGAGCCCATCTTGCCGTATTCCACCAATTCGCAAGTAACCTCCACATATCATCACGGACAACAGATAAACGATCTTGATCCCCTTCTGAAAGTATAGTGGCTAAAGCCTCGATTGCCGCGCTCAGAGCATAATTATCTGGCTGTTTTTCATAATCAGGATCTTCCATACTACGTAGAAGCAATTCACAAATATCAAGAAGTCTATGGATTTGATTATCGCGGATGCCAAAATGGCATTGTAACAAGTCAGTTATTGTATCCTGACCGTACATCTTTTATTGCTATTACTGAAATAAGTAATATGAAATGCGTAGCTAACCGTGTATGATCTTCGTCCAAATGCCAAACTAATCGAATTCAATGTTTTGCAGTTAATGCAATCATTATTTGTGTTGATTCCTTCACTTTCTTTCTTCATAAAATATTCTCTGGCTCTCTATCGATTGGGTATTTTTACTTTCTGAGTAATCATATTTGACTAGGAGGCGTATTTTAGAGCGACGGCAACAATACAAAGAAACGAAAGAAAAAGAAGAATTTGCAATCATCTTACCATATTTCAAAACTATCGCATCGACAAATTCGGGTGCTGTAATGATTCCCTCACTTCCTTTCTTCATAAAATATTCTCTGATTCTGTATCGATTGGGTATTTTTACTTTCTGAGTAATAATATTTGACTAGGAGGCGTATTTTAGAGCGACGGCAACAATACAAAGAAACGAAAGAAAAAGAAGAATTTGCAATCATCTTACCATATTTCAAGACTATCGTATCGACAAATTCGGGTGCTGTAATGATTCCTGCTCACGCGCAATAGAAAAAGCTTTCTTTTATTCAAAAACAAAGTATAAACTCGCAACAGGTAAGGATGGGGGACGTTTTCTAGCAAAACCGACCCAATTCAAAATCACATTAGGTTTTCGTTAAACTTTCAAGAGATGGTTAGGACAGTGATCCTTGTGATCTGTGAAATTCCGCCCGGTCCATTAACTTTTCTTGTAAATCACTATTCCTTAATATTGGCTGTGTGTGACCAAGGAGTGCCAGAGGGATGAACAATTTTTCCAAAACTTACTAAACCCTTCGTATTGAATTTATACGCCAGTCCACGTAAGGCACGTACGATTCACGTATAAAGTGCTCAAACGATGCCTTCCGATTGCGTTCATTTTTATGTGATAGAGGGAAATGTTACAAGGATATCGGTGAAAGCTGATTCGAAAAATATTGAACCGTTCGTTTTTTATTGAACTTTTATCAAAAGCCCTTAAAAAATGCATATTTCTGAAAGGTGATTTTGTGTACCCTATATCTCAAGAAACGTATTCGAATGAGCTGAAACTTAGTGTACTTTCACAATAGGTTTTTTACATGAGAAAGTTGGTCTAGCCTATCTTGACATTGGTTGAACATGTCGACCTGTCCCTTGGTTTATAAGGTTTTATCGATGTGCTCTTTCTTTTTTTATCGAGAAAATTTTCTCCAAAACCTATGAACTTGGTTTTCTAGAAAATCAGAACTCTGGTTTTTCAGTGCCAAGAACTCTCAAAACAGCTTGTTTTAACAACGCAGAATGATCAAGCAGACAATTCTCTACGAAATGAGACGTCTCCGAGATCTCCACGATGGTGTCTGACCGAGCTCTACCAATTTTAAGGAAGGCCTAAAAGCCTTTTTGTCGTTTTTTTGTAGAAAATAGCAAACAACGACTTTTAGGCCTTCCGTAAAATCAATACAGCTCGATCAAAAACTGTCGTAGAGAGCTCGGATACGCCTCATTTTGTAGAGAATTGTCTGCTCTATCATTCTACGTTGTTAAAAGAAAGCTGTTTTTAGAGTTCTTGCTACTGAAAAACCAGGGTTCTGGTTTTATAGAAAACCAACTTCCGAGGTTTCAGAGACAATTTTCTAGATGAAAAGGAAAGAGCACATCGAAAAACCCTTATAAACCAAAGGACATCTCCATACGTTCAGCGATTCTCAAGATAGGTTTTTCATGCAACACGCCTATTCATAGACTTCTACAAGTAATATAAATTTTAGCTTCAGCCAGCTATTGCTTAACATTCTATGGATTTCACAAAAATTGGTGCAGTGCGTGTTTTCTTGAAAATTAGAAGATTTATATCTCTGAATTGGAAATAGATACGAGTCTGCAATTTATTTTATAGATACACCTAGGTAAGGCGTCTGTACTGAGAAAATTTCAGCTCATTCCAATGAACCGTTTAGTCAGAGAAAGGACCCTACTGGATATTATGACCCACCTTGAACTAGGGTACCATATATATGGTTTTGTAGAGCTCGTCGCGGCGCATTGAATGGTATATAAGAAAACCAATTTTCGTCACACTTTCATGTCCTGAGGGTCCTTACACTGGTTACAGCCCTTATGAGAGAGTCTGCCAGAGGAGACCCCTAGTCCGCCGGGGAAAAAAATGTTTTTCGATTTTTTTATCTCAAGTGACAGGCCTAGGTAAACCATAATCAAATCCAAAATATTAGGCGATTTGACTGTGCCAATGAAAAACAGGGTATGGGTGTGGGTGTGAGTATGGGGGTGCGGGTGGGGGTGTGGGTGCGGGTGTCAATCTTGCTCTTACCCATACCCACACCCACACCCCAAATGGTGAAAATCGTTTTGTAGTGAGGCAGTTTCTCATATATCTCTGGTATTCATTGTAGACAGAAAGCCATTCTTAGCAAATATCGGACCGGAAATACTACAGAATAAAAAGAAAAAGGTGCGAAAAACAAATGCCGTGGCGAGGACATCACGGGCATCGTGCCTGTAGGGGTGAACCAATTCCAATTCTTGGCTTGGCATTGGTTGGAACTGGTTGGAATTGGAATTGGTCGGAATCGGTTTAGAACTGGAACTGGTCGGAATTCGTCTGAAATCGGTATAGAATTAGCTCTAAATGAGTGTAGAATTAACTGAAATTGATGGTACAATTGATTATTCTTGACTAGCAAGTGCTTGAATTTGCCAAAAATAAAATAAAGAAAGTGGGACGCATAAGGCCTTATATCTGAAAATTGAGATTTTTATCATAAAAGCTACCACTCGAGCCACAATTAATAACATATTTGGAATCAGCGCAAAAAACTGACTCGAACAATGTGTATTTTAAATACTTTCGGCAACTTTTTTTTTCTACCTAAAATTCACCTGGGGTACTACTCAGGGTTCAGCCCAATAATAAAAAATGACTTTTTTTTTAGTGCTCAGACATGCGATTTTTCTATATTACTAAGCATTTTACATGCTCCACAGTTAATTACTGCTGGCCAAGTTGCTTTCTGATTAGTTTCATTTTTTGACTGAACCCTGAGTAGAATACCCCAGGTGAATTTTAGGTAGAAAAAAAAGTTGCCGAAAGTATTTAAAATACACATTGTTCGAGTCAGTTTTTTGCGCTGATTCCAAATATGTTATTAATTGTGGCTCGAGTGGTAGCTTTTATGATAAAAATCTCAATTTTCAGATATAAGGCCTTATGCGTCCCACTTTCTTTATTTTATTTTTGGCAAATTCAAGCACTTGCTAGTCAAGAATAATCAATTGTACCATCAATTTCAGTTAATTCTACACTCATTTAGAGCTAATTCTATACCGATTTCAGACCAATTCCGACCAGTTCCGACCAACTCTAAACTAATTCCGACCAATTCCAATTCCAATTCCGACCAGTTCCGACCAATTCCAATTCCAATTCCGACCAGTTCCGACCAATTCCAACCAGTTCCGACCAATGCCAAGCCAATAATTGGAATTGCAATTGGTGCATCCCTTCGTGCCTGAAATATTGTGAAAGTTGTGGTCTAGTGTAGCTTGTTGACCAAAAATCTGAAGTGTTCATTGTAGACCGATAGCCGTATTTCTTTACTAGATATAGGCTACTGAATGCTACGAAAGAAAACAGGACTGGGTCTGAAACAGAAACCCGCTCGTGGTATCAGGGATGATAATGCGCCCAAGGATTTAGATAGTTTCTTTTCGAATGAAGGTTTCAGACCGCTGTTGTGGTTGTATGGGTAAGATGCTAGAACGCTTGATTCTAGTGAGTAGAAGTGATTGAATATTGGAGATTTAGAACGACAATAGGTTGAACAAAACTTTTACTAACGAGTAGTGATTCAGGGACTGGCTTCTGTTACTCACAAGGGAACACCACGAACTGATCAAACGCTTTTCAAATTTTACTGATGCCAACTTCTAGAGCTTGTTGAGGTATTAACTGATTTAACACTCATTTGGGCCCACAGCACGCCTAAGATTAAATCTCTAAATATATAATCTTCAGTCTATGTGGGAATATGCCAAGGTCAAAAGTCAATTGTTAGGGTGATGATTAATCTTTTAATTTTGATTTTCATGCACTCATATAAAGATTCATCGCCCAATATCACTTTCCACAGTGAGTCTTTGTGTGCTGCATGAGAGCTAAAATTAGAAGATTAATCATCACCCACACAATTGACCTTTAACCTTTGAGCTTGGCATATTCCCACATAAACTGAAGATTATGTATTTAGAGACTTACTCTTAGGCGTGCTGTGAACCCAAATGATTATTATATCAGTTAATAACTCAGCAAGCTCTATGTGCCGATATTGATGACACGCTTCGATGATTCTCCTTCCTTCTCTTTCTGTTCTCTTTCCATTGCTCTAATATATCTCTCTCCTGTCTCTCTTCTATCTCTCTCCTATATATACGTGTGTTATGCATGAAGTCGTTACACTCTGGATACATGAAGTAGCTAATAAACATCATTGCCGTAAGTGGCACAGCTACTTCAATCCAGTTTGTCGTTACACTCTAGAAGTTGGCATCACTAAAATTTAAAAATCGTTTTATCAGTTCGTGGTGTTCCCTCGTCAGAAATCACCTTAGAAGGATCTCTACTAATTATCTTCGCAGATATTTTATTGTCTATAGAGGTATTGTTATGGACTGAATGATGATTTTGAAAGTCTAAGAAAGGGGAGAATCTACTGTTGTTTAGCTTTTTGCAGCGTCATGAAGCGTACACTGTATAGTCGAGCATCATCGTAACATTGACGATAAGAAATGCGGTATAGATAAATATAAAGCCAGAGTTGGATGAGCAGGTTTCGCTGGGTGGAAAGAAAAAAAAGAAAAACAGATAAATGGAACTACTGGTTCGAGAAAACGGAGTCTCCATGGTAAACTACTCTGAATTTTCTTTTGGAAAGTTAGAAAAGCGGTCCAACTGTACTTGTCATGATGGCTATTGTTGTTGCTTCTTCTAGTAAACGTTTTAAACGCAGCAAAAGAAAAAAAAACAAAATGAAGGGTTTTCGTGGGACTTGATGAAAACGGTTTGTACTAAAATTACCAAAGTCTAAGTGTGTTTTTATCTTATTCTTGTCTATGAAACACTCCTGTCAAAAAGAGGAAATACAACAGGTCACTAAGAACAAATCATTTTGGGATCATCTTGGCCATTTTCCTGTAATACAATGGTACTGATAATGAGCTGATGCAGTTTTACAACATCTCAAAATGAGATAGACGCTGACTTCGACACTTCACACATATGATAAAGAAACACGGTCTCCAAAGATCTTCAGAGAAATAAGCTTCAATAGGTACGTGATGGCAATATATACTGTTTTCCTTTCACTCTCTGAAGCACTAGCCACTTAAACATGTGCTCATCGTCAATTCGTCTATCTGAAAAAACAAATTATACAGAGTAACAGCTTGCATCCTACTATTCGCGTGACTAAAGCAGGTACTTCCAAAATCATTGATACCCACAATAATTTCGTGACACCACATTACCGCGCGCGACACTGCCGCGGATTACAGATTCTCGCATAATATTTGCTCGCAAAGTCCGCATTCTAACTCTCACCCTCACCGTCACTCGTCCCCTCACTTTTGCTTTCGTTTTCACCCTTATTTTCGAGCTCACCCTCAACTTTTGCTCCAACTATCACTGTTGCGCGGTAGTGTCGCGCGCGGTAATGTCGTGGAGCCGCTACCTTTGATCTGCATACTTTGAAGCTTGTCCTTCCGTAAGAATGGAACAACCTCGTGGAGCGAAGACATTCATATCTATTTGAAATCTTTCGTAAAAACGCTTACTCGTCATCAATGCATCACTTACCTGAGCATTTCAACGATAAGATTTAACCAATCAAGAATGACATTCGCTTTTTCAATAACATCATCTTTATTAGGGATGCAACTGTGACGGTCAACACCGTTCCACCGTCACCGTTTCAGCGACTGGTGAAACGTTGGAGTCGTGCAACGGTGAACCGGGGCCCGGTCAGGCCGGTGCAATGGTTGACCGGGTTCCGTCAGGGCGGTGAAACGGTGAACGATTAATCGTCACCGTTGCATCCTACCAATGGGACGTAGGAACCTGGACCCAACTATAGCAAATTTGGCGCGGGATCCTTGCCCGCACATGTGCCAATGTTGCACAGAACTGTTTGGTCATCAGGATGAACTCGCAGCATTGGCGATACCCTTGGCCCAACCCGTCCCAATGGGACGTAATACCTTGGACCCAACCCGTTCCTATGGAACGTAATACCTTGGGCCCAACTATAGCAGATTTGGCGCGGGGCCCTTGCCTGAACATGTGCCAATGCTGCGAATTCATCCTGACGACCAAACAGTTCTGTGCAATATTGGCACATGTTCGGGCAAGGGTCCCATACAAAGTTTGCTAGAGTTGGGCCCAAGGTCCTATGTCCCATTGTAACGGGTTGGGGCCAGTGTCGCGCTCCAAATTTGCTATAGTTGGGCCCAAGATCTTACGTCCCATTGGTAGGGATGCAACGGTGACCATTAATCGTTCACCGTTTCACGGCCCTGACGGGGACCCCGTCAACCGTTGCACCGGCCTAGGCGGGCCCCGGTCCACCGTTGCACCGATCTGATCGGGGCCCGGTCCACCGTTGCATCGGTCTGATCGGGGCCCGGTCTACCGTTGCATCGGTCTAATCGGGGCCCGGTCCACCGGTGAACCGGTTCACTGTTGCACGGGTCCACCGTTGCACCCCTAAGCTTTATCCGGCCATACCATACATATAAGATCTAATAATTTGCTTATTACGATTCACTACTAATGAATTCATTGAGCTTTCCCTTCAGGAACCTCAGTCGAAACAAAAATGCTTATCCACGATTGAACTACCACAATAACTTTTCTCTCATCTGTTAAGATACCTCACCTACAACCTACTACCATATAACTAATCATCCCTGCACTAAGAACCCCACACTCCTCCACAAATCATTCGACAATAACAGTCTTCCAGGCACTTTTCGCATAACAATCCATACTTTAATGAAGGTGCGGAGTCATTTACAAATTGCTTAAGACCTATTTTTCGACCTTTCCACTTTCATTTTGTAGCACTAATTGAGTTACATTCAAGGAAAAGAAATACCTCAGGATCTCAAGTTCATGATTCGAGAAAAGCACAAACTCTACCGTCAGAGGATTTTCTCCATATTTTGGGGTCTGGTACCCTTGACATCCCCCTCAGGGCATATTTTTCTCCGTGGTTTCTCTTTTTCATTTTCCAGCACTTACTACCCTACGTTTACTGAAAAACTATGGCTTTGGGTCTACAGGGTTGGAAATAATATTATTCCAGAGGGGTAACACCATTATTTCAAATAGTGTTACTGATGAATTTTATATCAAATGAAAGCCCGTGAAAAATGGGATTTCGGAATATATCTACGCATTAATAAGATGATAATAGACTATGCAACTCCGGAATTTTTCAAATTTTGGACGCATAATTGGACATTTCCACGGGTTGTCAACCAACAAAACATAAAGTTCTCACAGACTGTTTTTGCCTTTCGGATTTTGTAGAGCATTCTTCGCTGATCATTTTCATGAGAAGATTTTTATAACTTGATCATAAAATAACGATGCTAAAGTCAAAATACTAAAAGTCTCAACTTTTGGGGACTGATGAGGATTAGATGTTAATGAGTATTTTGATTTTAGCATCGTTATTTAATGATCAAGTTTTAAAACTGTTTTCATGAAAATGATCAGCGAAGAAAGCTCTACAAAATCTGAAAGGCGAAAACAGTCTGTGAGAACATTATGTTTTGTTGGTTGACAACCCGTGGAAATGTCCAATTATGCGTCCAAAATTTGAAAAATTCCAGAGTTGCATAGTCTATTATCATCTTATTAATGCACATATATATTCCGAAATCCCATTTTTCACGGGCTTTCATTTGATATAAAATTCATTAGTAACACTATTTTAAATAATAGTGTTAACCCCCCCCCCCCCCCCCCCCCCCCTGGAATAATATTATTTCCAACCCTGTACAATGCGCAGCTGAAATAGACGGTCTACAAGGTTTACTACAACGATATTTCTGTCATATTTTGCAGTCCGATACTCTTGACATCCCAATCAGGGCCTATCCTTTTCCGACTTTTTTCTTTTTCATTTTGTAGTACTTACTTCCCGATATTCACTGAAAAAATATGGCCTTGGGCCTACAATGGGCAGGCGAGATACACGGTCAAAGAAATCTCGAAGTAGACGAAAGATTGCTCACATTTAGGAAAATGGGTTAGTGTTTGGAAAAAGACTGACTTCCTACTAAAAGTAGTTGTAAAGTTTTGTTCGAAATTTAATTCTCTATCTAATGGTATATAAGTTCAATAGGAAAGGTTTGGTAAGTTTTTGGAAAAATTGTTCATCCCTCTCCCACTCTATGATCAGGTACAGGCAATACTCAGGAATAGTGATTTACGGGAAAATGTTAATGGATTGGGCTGAAATTTTCACAGATGACAAGGATCACTGTCCTAACCATTTCCTGAAAGTTTAACGAAAATCTAATGTCATTTTCAATCGGACCGATTTTGCTAGAAAACGTCGCTCGTCCTTTACTTAGATCATAAATATAAAATTTTATTTTAACAGCAACCAAAGTCATGAAATAACACAATGTATAAAGAGAGACTACCATTTTGACACAATTTACTTTTGCAGAAAAACTGCAAAAGTAAATTCTGTATGGACTAACTTTATATTGATATGATCTAGACATTGTAAAATTACTTTTTTTTATTTAGCACTAATATGTTGTGTCAATTCTGCACGTAAAGTGATATAGATGGAAAGCAACAGAACGAATGTACAATTACGTCATCATATAGTAAAAATACATTTGTTCTCTAGTTATAAACTGCATACATGTACACTATGTGAAGAACGGAAAACCATTCGTATGGATACGTTACATTGTCAATATATATCAGTGCTAAATAAAAAATGTAATTTCACAATGTCCAGATCATGTCAATATAAAGTTAGTCCATACAGAATTTACTTTTGCAGTTTTTCTGCAAAAGTAAATTGTGTCAAAATGGTAGTCTCTCTTTATACATTGAGTTATTTCATGACTTTGGTTGCTGTTAAAATAAAATTTTATATTTTAATTGAAAACAAGTCGCTCATTCATTCATTTACATTATATTTAATTATATCGAATATAGATATAGTTTCTGTGAGAATTTTAGTCAACTATAATTTAGAGAAAATGACAAACTGCTCCAATATTTTACGATTATCGGCAACGCTCGATTTCTTCAATAGCACATTAAACGAAGACAATAAGTTGAATAGCAGAGCTCTACAAACAATACATCAATATTTAAATAATCCCACCGTAACAACATTAGATCAAAAAGATGAAGCGAATATGCAACCTTTGATCGAGCATTTGGAACTTCTAAGAGAAGACCGAGTATTTAATCGAGTTTCATCAACGATGATGAAGAACACCAACCGGCAGCTGGAAAATCTTGCTAGATTGCTTCTGAAAAATCCGACGGAACTCAATGGCGATGCATATTTTGTTATTGCTAACCTCAGAGTATGTTTTCTGGATCTATTAACAGAACAAACAATAAGTTCCAGTGAACAGTGGGAAAAATTATTTAATGGAAAAAAAATGAAACCCGATGCATCACAACATCTATCGAAATTAAAACAGCCACATGCATTCTATTTGGACAGAAAAGAGTGTCTTATCATTGAATTAATGAATGCAGCATTATTCAATGTGATTGAATATTTTCAACACAAGCAACTATCATTCAAGGAATATTTTACACATGAATTTCTTGATTCACTTGACAAAAAGGTTCAGGATAACAATTATCTATTGAACGATGCCATCAGTAATGAAATGTTCGATATACTATCGAAAACAGCCACTCAATGTCAATTACCTATCCGCATTCTTATAAATCATTTGAAACTGGCAATTATCGGTTTTGATGAACGCACAAATGATTTTAATGATTTGCTGGAAGAATACATTACTCATACTGAAGATCCCACATTAGCAGATTTGAACAAGAAACTTGATCCTTCATGGGCTCTTACAAACAACGAAGTAGCTCTGTTCAATGGTCTATTTAGTCTTTATTGTCAAATACTTTTATCAACGGAGAAAGAAATCCCTGCAGTTCAGGTACGTATTGGGTATTATGTAATAGTGATAATCGTTGACATAGAACATAATTCAATGATTTCTATTTTAATACCCATTATAGATAACTGAGAAAAGCTTCGTGTGTGAAATCGCAGTAGTGCGTCTTTCAATGACTTTTTGACAATTTCTTGTCTCTCTTTTATTATAGATTCCCGTAGCATCATCAAGTGAACTACTTAAGCAACCAAGTAAAGTACCAACTTCAACAGAACAATCAATCGGCCTGGAATGTGAATCCAAGTTGAAATGTGTCTGGATTGAATCCGACGTGGAAAAATATTATGAAGCTTATTGTAATGCCATCAGCCCAGCAACTAGTATTCACTTCAAACCGGATGAATTCTTAGCTGAAACGTCCGATGATTGGGTAAACTGTCGAATTTTTCTTTGTTTGAGCGTTAGAGCTGCACTTGAAATTTTACCTAAAATTCATAGAAAATTTGAACTCTATCGAATTTACGTTCTTGGCAATGATAAAAAAGAAGAACACCTAATTCCGCAAAATGAAGAAGCATTCAGTAAAAGACTACTTTTCACAAGCGATCAAGATGTACTTGTTCGACAATTATCATTGGATATCATACAAACATTCCAGGAAATTGGCGATCTTTATTTGAACACACATGCATATGGCGACGCTGAGAGATGGTACCAATCAGTATTGGATAAAATAAATGAGTATGGTAGTTCCAAAGAAAAAATTCTAGTACCCATCATTCAGCAAAAACTATCAAAATGTTCAAGATAATTCAACGTTGTCGTTCGAACTCAAAGGATTCTTCTATTGCTTTCATGTAAATCATTTGTTTTTTTTTGCTATACTTTATATGAAAATTTTCTGAATGGATCATTTTATTATATGAAGCCTTTAAGTAGAAATGAAAATCGTAGAATTTAGTGGAATTTCTCTTCAATCAATAAAGAAAGGGGTTTGTAGAAGATCCACTTAATATACTACGCAGATGCTTGAGTAATCGGTTTGTTGAGTGTGTACTTAGGAATATCAATAACGAATGTACAAGAAGACGGTTTCTTATATTCTAGATATTCTATTTCATTTCTGTATGTCTACTGAAACAAAAACTTCTACATTGCGTAACGATGATACTGTCAATGATCAGTTACAATCGATGGTGTGCAATTTAGAAGGAATAACGCTTGTTTGGTATGATACGAAATTGAATGCGACTCTACGAAAAGAATTGCGAATTACAGAAGAACATATGAGATCAATCAATGACTTCGTTATGTTCCCCGAAACTGAAGACAAATGTATTGCTACAATACGATCTATCAAGAATGAAAAGATTCTACTTGTTACATCGGGTTCAGGTGCTGAGAGCCTTTTATCATTCGACAATAAATTCGTACATGAAGCTGTTCAAGCTATTTTTATTTTTTGTCGTACGAAAGAAACATACGAACCTCTAAGAAAGTCCTATCCGAAACTAATTGGCATATACAATGACCCGAAAGAATTGAAACAAGCGATTCAGGAAGAAGTTGATCTGCTACAAGCCCATCTTGAAACATTTAATTTCTACAATAAAAATGAACAAAAATCGATGTGTGATCTTTCGAAACGACCGGCAACACATCGCTGGCTATTAACATTCAAAGATTTCGTAATCCGTCTACCAAAAGATGAAAAAGCCAAAAGTGAAATGATTAAAATGTGTACAAATTATTATCGCGGCAACAAAATTGAATTAAAACATATTCAAGAATTCGATAAAACATATAAGCCTGAGCATGCCATTAGTTGGTACACTCGGGCATCATTTGTCTATAAATTGGTCAATAAAGCTCTACGAACTGAAGACATCGAACAACTGTATATATTTCGATTCTATATAAGTGACCTTTGCAAACAAATCGCTACAACAGAAAAAAAAAATAATCAATCACACTCACTGATTTTATATCGAGGAGTACGAATGCCATTAGATGAAATTAAAAGATGGAAAGAAAATGAAGGTAAATTAATTTCAATCAATGGTTATTTATCAACGAGTCTTTCAAAAGCAGTAGCCATGAAATTTGCATTGAGAAGAACAGAAACGAACATGGAAGAATCGATCCTAATTGAAATCGAATGCGATCAAAGTTCTGCTGCATTTGCTATCGTAGAAAAAGAAAGTCGTTTCTCGAAAGAAGAAGAAGTTCTATTCGATCTTGGCACCACATTCGAAATTTTATCTGTAATGAATAGTCAAGAAGAAAACGATAAATTTGATATTTGGATAGTTAAAGTTAAAAGCACAATAGTGGGAACGGAATCAGTTCAAGAATGTACTCAAAGAACTAAGAGGGCTTTTGAACTATTTGATAATAACGAAATACTATTGTGGGCAGCCTTTCTCTGGTCGATGGGTGATACTGGCAAATCATTAAAGTTTTTACACAAACTAGCCGATAACGAATCTTCCAAAATAGGTTCTGAAAGTATCTTTCGAGTTATGTTGGATTGTGTTGACAGCTATCAAGATTACAACGACGCACTTGAATATTTGGAGTATGAGCAAAATAATAGTGAATTTAGAAGGGAGGTAGACGCGGTATATAGCTGGAAAAAATCTTTCATTTACAAGCAAATGGGTCAATATGATCAGGCGTTGTTAGAATTACAGTTGTTCTTGCGTCCTGTTGAATCAATAATATGCAAAGATGAATCCTGGAATATTTGGAAGGTATCGTTTTATATGAGCCTTGGTGATATTTACTTGTCTAAAGGCCACTATAACGAAGCTATTGATAATTCCAAGAAAGCCAATGAAATAGCGGAAAAATTATTTCCTAAGGATCATATATTCTTTCCTACTTATATTGAGAGGCGTGCTGATATCTGTTACGAAAGGGGAGACCTACATGATGCTCTGGAATATTATCAGCAGCTTACTGAGATACGAGTGAAATATCATCCTCTACAAAAATCGAGAATTATTTATAGAATGGGCTCCATTCACGACATTTTAGCTAATTATCAACAATGTTTAGAATATTATCAGCAAGCTGCAACTGTTGCAAAGGAAAGAGCCACTGAAATACGAGAAGAGAAAGCAGTTTATTCTGAAGTGATCGGTCGAATTAGATGGTTAAATGGGGACTTGGAAATGGCTTTAAACTCTTTCGAAGAAGTATCCAATATAAGACAACAGATTTTCGGTGGAAATCATGATTTCGTAGCTAGAGCTTATTATATTAAAGGAACTTTATTAGAAGAATTGAAAAGAGACGATGAAGCATTATCCAATTATCAAGCAGCTTTGACTATTTTAAGAAAAGTTTTTCCTAATGGACATCGGAGTTTAGCACTTACTTTAAGTCGAATGGGAGATCAACATCGACGACAACGTAAATTCAAACAAGCTCAGAAATTCTGTGATGAAGCACTTTCTATGCAACGAAACCTTTTACCTTCTAATCACATCGACAGTTCTTTTACATTGTCGTGTCTCGGAAGAATTCTCTCTGATCAGCGCAACTATGATAGAAGTGAACAGTGTTTGCAGAAGGCTTTAGAGATACAAAACAAGTTTAGTGATGGTTCACCGCATCCCTATCAGACTTTAACACTAATCAGTCTCAGCGATGTTTACAAAAATTGGAAAAGGTATCCTGAAGCTCTGGCATTTCTAAGGCAAGCTTTAACGATTGAGGAGAAAGCATGTTCACAACAGCAATCCAAAGAAACTGAACTTAAAGGAAAAATATGCGAACTTGAACATTTAATCACATAATAATTA